TTGGTTGTGGAAGACATATATATATATATATATATATATATATAAATGAGTGGAGATTGTCCCTCAGTAAGTGAGAACTAGGGTAGATTGTCCATTTAGGGAATACAATCGATCAGGGAAGTCTTTCAGTTACTTTCCTCGCTACGCTTCTCATCGGCACTATAGCATCAAACATAAGCTACTTGTCCTCACTTTCAAGGCCCTTCACAATCCATCCTTACCCTAGGGCATACCTATTCTCTCTTATTCAATATCTTATCAAAAGGTTGGCACCTTCCTCTGACTCACAGCATCATCACCTTTATGCTTTCTCCCATGCTGCCCCTTATGTTTGGGAGAAGCTTCTTGTAAACATCTGAAAAACTAACTCGTTATTCTCTTTCAAAATTCTCCTTCGCCATGAAGCCTACAGAAAACTTGACAACAGCTAGGTTGTCGATGTGCTGACATCATAGCCTAATCAGTCTGACCAATGCAGTCTCATTGTTTCCTTGTACTTCCTCCCCCCCCCCCATCTGCCTGTATGCATCTGTTGTCTTCTTTGGACTGTAAGCTGTTTGGGGTAGGCAGGTTCTTTGTTCTGTATGCAGCAGTTAGCACAGTGGGGTCACAGTCCATGACTGAGGCTCCTAGGCAATACAAATTATTATTAATAGAATGAGCTCCTGCATGGCCCATGAGTGAACACCCCTCTTGCTCAGCAGCAGAATATTCTTATTCTTGGACCCCTCTTGAGAAAAGAACGCACTTAGGTGCCTTGCTGAATTGGAGTCTGAGTACTGGATAGCTGAGAGTCTCTTCTACAAACGCATCTTCTTTAGCCTAAGCTAGTTAACGGGGTGGGGGGATGTTACCAGTGTGTCACATGAAGAGAATTGTTCCACACCCGTAGGCTTAAATGCATTGACAAAACCTGACAGACGAGGTGGGGGAGGTGATATCTTTTATTGGACCCGACTTCTGTTAGCGTGAAAGCTTGTGTCTCTCACCTACGCAGAGGTCTTCTTCAGGTCATCTCTAATTCGTTAAGATACGTGGGCTGTACTATTTGTAAAATTAGGGAATGGCTTAGTTAATACATGAAGGGGGCAAGATGGGAATAGACTTTGGTGCTAGATTGTCTGTCTTGAGTGAGTGAGCAAATCCCTGGGAAGAGCACCTGATTTTAGTTCAGTGTATTATGGAGAGTGTGGCTTTAGCCTCAGGTCTTCATGAAAGATATATTTACACTTCTGAGGGAAAACTCCTGCCGGATATGAAATGCTTCTAGTTCTCCAAACATCCTTGCGTCTCACCTTGTGTTACTCAAATTATCTGTGTGCCTGTGGGACTAAAGATATCCACAGGTCCCCTACTGGAGATTAAGCTTAATGTTTCATGAATGTGATCACTGGGGAGTGTCTGATATAGCAGGGGAAACCCTCCTTAACAGTGTCATTCAAAACACTTCTAGCTTGATAGATCAGCCAGAGTCTGGGACCAACCTCAAATTTTGATATGTTGTCATAAAAAAGGTTCTTACACTATTGGGGGGGCGTGTTTGCTAAGATTTTATATATAAACTTTCTTTTTGGAGTCTTCTACAAAATGATTAGATTAGAATTTCACTGTATCTTAAGTGTCTTTTTTTCCCTCTTTTTTTTTCCCCTTTCTTTTTCCTATGTTTCCTATACAGTACTGGACTGCAAGACTGTGGGCAATAGCCTATTTTCAAGGTGATTGTACTATATATCTTTGCTTACAGGGAAATATTTTTTTCTCCTCTAGAAAATACAGGTGGTCTGAAGTACTGACTAGCTCCTCTTCCTGCACACTCCAGAACATCC